GAAGGAAAGGCAGCTGCCCAACCTTTAGTATTACCAAGAATAGTTGGGCAGCTCCCACCCTCCGTGCAAACCTTCCATGCCTCCTGCCCTCCTCCTTGCAGTGAGTTCAGCTGCAGCAGCGACGAGTACACTCAGAAGAGGAGTCCACCCTGCCATTCCTCCTGCTTTGTGATGCGGGAAGCTGTGATGTGAGAGAAGGAGCTTTGCATTGGATGTGCTGTGATGTGAGAGGGGGCAGCTCCGATATGGGGGTCTTTGATGTAAGGTGGGGCTGTGATGTGACGGGGGAGCTCTGATATGGGGGGCTGTGTTGTAGGAGAGGTCTGTGATTTGGAGAGGCTGTGATGTGAGGGAGGAGCTGCGATATGGGGGGGAAGCTGTGATATGGGGGGCTGTGATGTAAGGGGGAGCTGTGATATGAGGGGCTGTGATGTAAGGGGGAGATGTTATATGGGGGGAGCTGTGATGTGAGAGGGGGAGCTGTGACTTAAGGGGGAGCTATGATAGGGGGGGCTGTGATTTAAGGGGGAGCTGTGATGAGCGGGGGTCTGGGATGTGAGAGGGGGGAGCTATGATATGAAGGGTCTGTGGTGTGAGGAGGAGGGCTGTGATTGAAAGGGGGCTGTGATGTCAGGAGGGGGGGAATGCTGTGATGTGGGGGTTGTGATTGCAAGGAGGACTGTGATGTAAGCAGGGCTTTAATGTTGGGGGGCTCTGATGGGAAAGAGAGTTGTGATGTAAGGGGAGCTGTGATGGGAAAGCTCCGAGTCATAGAAGAAAAATAAGATTCTGACCTCTGAGGAAAGAAAATGTTACCAACCAGACCTCCGTGAATTTTAATTCAGTATCCCTGATCTAAATCAATAATCTGAAATTTCAGTGTACAGCTATTTAGTTGAAAAAAAAAACCTTTGATCCAATGGTTGAAAATCTATTACTGTAGCACCCTCTTGTGTCACATTGAAGCAGAGCACTTCTGTAGTGTAGTTAATAGCAGGCAGTGTATTCTGGTAAAGCTGCAGGTTAATGTCTAGTTAGATAGTAGATCCTTTCCTTTATTAGCCAGTCAGCTTACATTTAAAAAGCGTGCACACCTGTAAACTTAAACTCAAAATGAATATGCTGTGGGACACGTCGTGTTACTGATGTAAACTGGGGCTACATTGGGGTTTTTATTTACTAACACTGTAGAGTGAAAATCTGGTGTAACTCTGCATAGAAATCAATCAGCTTCCAGGTTTTAATCTGAATTGAACAAGCTGAAGTTAGAAGCTGATTGGCTACCATGCACAGCTGCACCGGTTTTACTAAATCTCCCCCATTATGTCTATTTGTATGCCTTGGGTAATTGCTCCACTGTATGCAGAATAGAATCAAAATCGTTGTTCTGTGCTTTGGCAACAATGTTTCCTACTGTTTGTTGTAACAAGAGCATAATTGGGTATTTACAAAAAAATAATTTGTTGCTACGGATTTGATTCTGAAATATGCTTATTTTCTAGTATTTTGTTTTGTTTATTTTGAATGGTTTGATACCTATCATTTATTTGCTGTACAGATACGTTTTAATGTAAATCATGTGTAAAATAAATATAACCTGTTCAGTCCTTTTTCTAAGGTGGGTGGTGGGGTGGATGCTGTGTTTGTTAACAATATATACATCTGCTTTGCGACTTTCTGTTAATTGTGCTTCCTGTACATGGAATTAATGCCCTTTTATTTACAATAGTTTTTTTTTTTTTTGTATAGGAAAATAATAAAATGTTCACAGGTAGTCCATGTAAGGAGATCTATCCAAATGAAAATTTCCCTCAAGGAATCACCAATGGTGCTAATTGGTATAATGTTCCAGGTAATTTTCTATTCCATTGACCACTTTCTTCTGTGACTACAGTGGAAGTAAATCCAGTTGCTGTGTTGCTGCAATATTTTCCTCTTAGCACTGCTATTTAAAAAAGGCCTCTATACAGAATTTGGCAGATTGCTGTTCACAGTATTTACACATAATTGGGTAGAAGCTTTTACTAAGAAAACTGTTGAGTGATATTCCAATGTGGGGTAGAAATGTTTCTAATCACAAAGATCATATTCTTCTGTTCTTCTGTGGATTTGTCACTTTAGTTAATTATATTCATCTAGATTTTAGTATCTGATTTACACTGCCTTGTGTCCAGTTATACATGCATTTTTAACTATTATAGCCACATTCAAATATTTTGATTGGTCACTATGGATTACGGCACATTTGTAATTTCTTTGATAAAGACTTTTGTATTTTGTTGAACATATTGAATTTATTTGAATGCAAGTCAGCCTAAGACTGCAGAACTTTATGGGTAAAGGCACATGCTAGAAGTGTACATCTGACACATTTTGGACTTAAAAGTGTAAAACCAAAAAATGTTTTCTTTTTTATTTGTTTTGGATAGAGTGAAAGTGGTAACAATAGAGTGAGAAAGTGTTTATTGCTGTCTTTGCCCCTGCTAGGTAGACTGAGCCTCTTTTTTTGTCATAGTGATCACTGTCTCTGGTACAGGAACTGATGGAAAAATGTAGAAATTGTGTTGCCAAAGGAATAGTAGGAATAGGAAATTGAGTGGGAGCCTTCCAACAGGGACAACTTTCTAAGAGGTTATTTCCCCTTGATTTGGAAGGATTTCTTCTTTTGTTGTGCCTTTAGGACAGCAAGTGAAAAAGAAAGGTAAAACTCTCCAGTGTGACCTAAATAGTAGAAAAAAAGAATGGACATGAGTCTTAACCATTCACTACTGGTTTCAAGACTTAAAAAATTGGCTATATACACTTTTAATAATAACAAGAAACCATTCAGATTTATGCCTCTCTGTAGTCTTTGAGCACATGTGATGCAGAATGCATTGGATGTTTACTTTTTTGATTATATACATGTAGCACAAAATGCTTCAGATGTCTTCGACCATGTTGTGCATTTACACAGTTAGGCTCGGGACTGTTTTCACATTGCGACTGGAATTTAGGAGAAATTATTGATTTAGCACCTACAACACCATCATGTAAATCTAATGGTTCCCCTGGACCAAGATGTTGACTCTTGATACATGGATATTGAGGGTATCTACATAAAAAATAGTCTAATGACAAAATGTTTATATTTCCAAATGCAGCCTAAGTAATTTTCAAGACTTGGATCCCTTTAAAGGTTGTATAGTGTATCCAGATTTCCCACTTTGCATAGAACTTATAGAATTCATCCTGACAGTGTCTACTCATTTCTCTACTTCCATGATAAAGTTGACTCATCTAATTCAGTGTTCAAGCAAAGGCACCTTTGTCTTTTTCCAGAATACTGGATTTAAGCCTTTGACCTTTTTGGCTTCATTAAATGAGGAACACTTTTTCTTGTATGCCCCTACAGAGATAGGGATTACATGAAGACACTGCGCTGGTCATCTTAAAGTTGAAAGGTGCTGATATCTGAGATTAATTTCCTGATTTAACAACATAATGGTGTAAATATGGGGCACACCCACCAGATATGGAACAGTGACCCGTGCCGAGGATACACCATTGTTAACCGCTTCGGGACCCTGTACCACCTTATTAAGAGTTATAGTTTCTTGTGTAATTGAAGACTAATTGGTGCTGCACTATCTCTAGGTGATAAATAAACTCCTGTGATGTTAATACCCCAGACAGTGTACAAACTTGTAAATAAATATACATAAACCAGCAGCACCAATTAGTCTTCAATTTGTCATTTTCCATTGGGTATATGGTAAGGTGCTAGCAGCTTTTTAGTATAAACTAATAGGGGACCTGGAGCGCGGGAGGACCATACAGATATAATAGTTTTTTGTGTATTAGCACAAATAGAAGAGGAATGGGTCTGTTTCAGAATGGGATAACTGTGAAAATCTGAGAATGAACACTTTAACTCCATATCCCCAACATAAGACCTGCAAGGGTACCGTGATGCCTCATAATTTTATAGGGAGGTGGGTAGCAGTCCCTTGTCAGTGGGCAACTAAATCCAGAGGGATTCAATGCTCTTAAGGGTGTTTGCAGCTCTAATTCCCCTTAGGTGAGTGGCTGTGAAATGTTGCAGTTGCTGGTGTCTCCAAGCATCCAAAGGGAACATACCACACACCTTTCCACCCTGGGGAAATTTGGCACATCTGGTGTCCCCATCAGTTGCCCGCGTTCAGGAGAAATGTCAGACTCACCTGTGGAAAGGGGGGGGGGGGGGAGGGTCGCCAGAGTAAGCCATTCAATGGAAGAAGGGGGAAACAGGTGGCGATGGAGCGCCCTGTCTGTTAGTGGAGTCCCACATTTTTAAGGTATGAATTGTACGAAAAAAAGCAGTGTCTGAGAAACCTCTGTGTAGGTGCAGGACCCACAGGGCCTGACATAAATTACGGCCCACCATTGTTTTCTGTAGTGTCACCCCTATTTTTTTTTTTTTGGTTTACGTGATGGTGCTAGCTAGGTATTCTAATCAAGGCTACTGCCCTGTAACAATTTAAGTTGGGGAGGTCTATCCCGCCTTTGGCCCTTGTGACAATTTTCTATGCCAAACTTGGCTTTGCATTTTGCCATACAAAACTTTTGAAAATCCGTTGAACACTGGGAGTGTCATCTCTTTTTTTTTTTTTTTTTTTTAAACCCCTCTCATGGGTATGTCTTCTAGCCCCAATGGGAGCCATAAACAAAATTGTATTTTTCTAAAACTGCCCAATGTGTAGTTGGTTTATATAGTTTTTGTTTAAACCTTTCACACTGTAATTCGTAGGTGGAATGCAAGACTGGAATTATATCAACACAAACTGTTTTGAAGTGACAATTGAGCTGGGTTGTGTCAAGTATCCAGAGGCATCAGAACTTCCAGCTTACTGGGAAAGCAACCACCAATCTTTGCTGGCATTCATAAAACAGGTAAGTGTGTGCTTGGCAGTTATGCTTTTTTCACTTTGTGTTGTCCACATCGTATTGACGTCTGAATTCTTTAGGTACACAAAGGAATCAAAGGATTCGTGCTTGATGCTACAGATGGAAGAGGTATCTTCAATGCCACTATTACTGTTGCTGACATTGATCATCCTGTGACCTCTGACAAGGCTGGGGATTACTGGAGATTGCTAGTCCCTGGTACATATAAAGTTACAGCCTCTGCGAGAGGGTAGGTATCAATCTCCTTTAACATCACATCTTGTTTTACAGTTTAGTAGATGAGCTCCAATTTAAAGTTATAGATAAGACACTGGCTGCCTTTCTGTTTTTTTTTGGGGTTTTTTTTGAGTTTTTGAATGTATAAAGCCTTCCCAAATCCTTTCTGTTTTTGTTCGGTGCATCTACTGTATAATCATTATAGTAAACTTCAAGAACAATGACATCTTAATCGCAAAGTACAGGACAGAGGAAAAGTATTCAGAAACCTGGGTTTATTGGCTTGTACCCCCAGGTGATTGGACGTTGGCAAGCTTTTGTGGACACACCCACGAGTGTCTCTCCTATAACCCTATCTCACTTTGAGTCCTCAGTTTTGTGCTAGTGTCCTAAGGAGATGGACCTCTTCTCTTTCACCGAGAAATTACGCATAGCTTAACTGGGTAGAGCAACTTCTGTTCAATTGCAGTGACCATACATGGATTGAAATATTGCCAGTGCCTGTTGAACTGTCCAAATTTTCATCCATCTATGCCCAGCTTTAGACGCAACACTAGGAGCCAATATGTTCATGTGCTGACAATGCGCATGATGATAATACAAGAGAGCAGACTAGCAGAGAGATCAGCTCATTACTATGCTACGTTTCCTTCACTGTCCAATCATAGACTGGGAGTGTTGAGAATATCTGTAAGTGTTATTTAAGGAGGAACTGAACTCTGGAAGCTGTGCCCAGAAAAAGTAGGCAGAGGAAAAACTACTAGTCATCAGTATTGTATGTGTGTTTCCTCTAGCTGATCTTTCTCCTAATGCTGACTTACTGCTTTGTTCTATACTTTATTTCTCTGTGTAGAGGCGGCCATCTTGGTTGAGGCATAGTTTTGTGTCCTCATGTCAGAGCCTCCAGCATGGAGAATAGTGAGCATTAGAGTAGTGGCATCATCAAATCTCTTGAAGCAGTAAGAGCTAGCAGTGCCTTAGATTTCACACAACGGTTATATAGCTATGAGGCTGTAGTCGTATACCAGGAAGTGCACTGCTATTTTTCATGAGGAATTCAAGACAAACATTCTTTTTTTCAGACTTGGGCAGAATTATCATTTCTAAATGTTCCCCATAACATAGCAATCATCACTTTTTGAGTTCAGGTCAGTTTTCACTGCAGCAGAAAACAATCGGGCCAGGTAAGACTGTGCTTTGTTGCAGAGATGAGAAAAATCTCAGGACTGGATCAATAGAAATACAAATATTCATGCAGGTATAAATGTTCCTTTATATGTATTTCATGTGTTTATTTAGCTGTTTTCCCGGATTTAATTTCCAATCGTTATTTATTGAAAGTTTACAATACAATGAGAATAAAAAAGGCAACAAATGAGAAGGTAGTGACAATTATACATATAGTCATTCAGGTGCTTCAAAACAGAAGGATTGTTAACACTACTATATTCCCTGAGTTTTTTGTATTAAACATTTCTATGAAGAACCATCCAGGTGCACGGTATACCCTAGTGGGGTCCTAAAATTCCATAAGATCAGTGTGTCCGGTATCTAAATTCACATATCGACTCTGTTGCTTGTTTGCCCTGATTTCAGTTGTGAAGTTTCTAATTGTTTCATATGACTCTGTATGGTTGGAGTTCCACTACTGGAATATTTCTTTGCAATTTATGTTCCTGTGAACATTCCAAAATCCCTTGCACATTAGAAATCATTCCAGAAAACCCATCATATAGTATATATAATCACATTTCTTTCCTTTCCTCCAGGTATGTTCCTGTTACGAAAACCGTTAATGTCACAGAAGGAGATGCTATAGTGACAAACTTCACACTTGCCCGCTCAGGTACAGATATGTCCAAGGAAGACAAAAGAAAATTATCTGTGGTAGAACCAGAAAAGCTAGACCCCAACACAAAGGAATTTGAGACACTAATCAAAGATCTTTCTGCGGAAAATGGTCTGGAAGGACTCTTGTTGTCAAGATCAAGTGACATAGATCTGTATCGATATAGGTCTTATCATGACCTTTCAGAATCACTCCGTGGGCTAAATCTTAATTATCCAAATATAACTAAACTTACAAGGTAAATGTACTTTTTGTTTTATTTTATTGCTTCTCGTAAATTATTTGAGAAATCTCCTCTTACAAACCTTGTTCATATATACCTTTTTATGGTGGTATGTTTTTTAGATACATCATTCCGTTTTATTGAATACATTTACTCTCACCTATTCGTAAATGGCAAAATTTCCTGCCCAACAAATTTGTTTTAAAGCAGTTGCCCACCATATGGACTGGAATTTCTACTTGATTTGTTTGGTATGCAGATTTGTACACCTGCCTATATGCATGTACAGTTTTAGGGATCCTCAGCACCTCTTGTGATGGGTGAATAAAGGAGGGTCTGGGTTTTGTGGCATCACAGTTTTTGAGTGGCAACTTATCTGATATTTCACATATGCACTAGACTTCAACAGCCACTGTTGTGTGATACTTCAGAAGTAGATTTGAATGAAGTATCATTGTTGTACATGTGGATAATTGTGTGTGCCCAAAAAAGACCATCCATTTTTTACACAGGTCTCTTTATCTGACTAATTAAATTCCAGGGCCTATCAATATGGTAATGTGGTGAAAAGATTAAATCTGAGCCCAGTTGTAGTGTAACATGTAGGTATAGTATTCCTGTCTCAGTTAATGATAGCTGGCAATAAGGATTCTTCCCTGTTGCAGCTTGATAATATCTGAAGCAGGAGCCTTGGTTTCTTTTGGGCTTCTTGTCTTGTTAATGATAAATTTGCTGTTTCATGCAACAGATGATTTTAATAAATCTTTTTGGCTTTTTTTTTTTTTTTTTTGTACAGATTGGGTCAGAGTGTTGAGTATCGTTACATTTGGTCTTTGGAGATCTCCAATAAACCAAATGTGTCCGAGCCAGAGGAGCCAAAAATCAGGTTTGTTGCTGGAGTCCATGGCAACGCTCCAGTTGGCACAGAGTTGCTGTTGACGTTTGCAGAATTTCTTTGCTTGAACTATAAGAAGAACAGTGCAATAACAAAGGTGAGGTTTCTGTCATTAGTGTATTTTGTATTGTGTACACACATGAATAGATTGTTTAGATTCAGCTGTATGAATTAGCAGAACATGGGAGCATTAGTATATCTGCACTAATTCATACATTGCCTCGTGTATGTTTTCCTAATTTGGTTGACAAAAACCTTCTAGGAGTTTGCCTAAAAACACCCCTACTTATTCTCTCTATGCGTTAAGTTGGCCATAAATGGTCGAATCTTGGCTGGTTCAGCAGGTTGCATCTATGTGCAGGTTGATTATACTAAATACTACTGTTGCACAACTTGGGTACAACCAACCTGTCAGATTTTTCACATAATAGCTCCATGGGAGGATTCTCCCATCAACACTGACTGAGTTAATGGGGGAATCTAGCGATTCTCTTTCCTGCAGCCTGTGGTTGCAGGTAAGAAAATCACATCATCTATGGCCGGCTTTAGCCTGTTTGAATATTGGGTATATGAACTCAAAATTCAGCTAACAGAGCTCCCAAAAGTCACATAACTGGCAAAAAAAAATGTTTGAGTAACCGGACCGGGTGTACTAAAGTTATACTTAAAATGAAGGGTTGGGTAGGTAGGCTTTGCCCCTGTTTGCCTTTCCAGGCTACTTTCTCAAATTTCCTGAGTTGCCAATAATTAGCTTGAGAAGGAAAATATTATTATAATTACCATTCTGGAATGTGTTTGCAATTAATACTTTGTTTTGTCCTCCAAGTGCAGCAGAAGTTAGCAAAATGGTTTGATTCTACTGCATTATTAGCTGTTAGAGATGGCTTGTTCATCTAGTTTTTGCATGCATAGTCAATGTATGCCTCAGCCCAAAGGTTTAGAATAACGCTTAAACTAAACAGGTTTATATGTATATGTACAGTGGATATAAAATGTCTACACACCCCTGTTAAAATGTCAGGTTTCTGTGATGTAAAAAAAAAAAACGAGACAAAGATAAATCATTTCAGAACTTTTAATGTGACCTAAAGTGTACAACTCAGTTGAACAACAAACTGAAATCTTTTAGGTGGAGAGAAGTAAAAACTAAAATAATATGGTTGCATAAGTGTGCACACCCTTAAACTAATACTTTGTTGAAGCACCTTTTGATTTTATTCCAGCACTCAGTCTTTTTGGGTATGAGCCTGTCCGCATGGCACATCTTAACTTGGCAATATTTGCCCACTTTTCCTTGCAAAAACTCTCCAAATCTGTCAGATTGTGAGGGCATCTCCTGTGCACAGCTCTCTTCAGATCACCCCACCGATTTTCAATCAGATTCAGGTCTGGACTCTGGCTGGGCTTTTCCAAAACTTTAATCTTCTTATAGTGAAGCCATTCCTTTGTTGATTTAGATGTATGCTTTGGGTTGTGGTCATGCTGAAAGATGAAGTTCCTCTTCATGTTCAGCTTTATAGCAGAAGCCTGAAGGTTTTGTGCCAATATTGACTGGTATTTGGAACTGTTCATAAGTCCCCAATTCAATTCCAACTGAAGAAAAACAGCCCCAAAGCTTGATGCTGCCCCCGCCATGCTTCACTGTGGGTATGGAGTTCTTTTGGTGATGTACAGTATTGTTTTTGCGCCAAACATATCTTTTGGAATTATGGCCAAAAAGTTCAACCTTATTTTCATCAAACCATAACACATTTTCCCACATGCTTTTGGGAGACTTCAGATGTGTTTTTGCAAAATTTAGGAGGGTTTGGATGTTTTTCTTCTTAAGAAAAGGCTTCCTTGTTGCCACTCTACCCCATAGCCCAGACATATGAAGAATATGGGAGATTGTTGTCACATGTACCACACAGCCAGTACTTGCCACTTATTTCTGCAGCTCTTTTAATGTTACTGTAGGCCTCTCTGCAGCCTCCCAGACCAGTTTTCTTCTCGTCTTTTCATCAACTGGAGGGACATCCAGTTCTTGGTAATGTCACTGTTGCGCTATACTTTCTCCACTTGATGATGACTGTCTTCACTGTGTTCTATGGAGTATCTGATGCCTTGGAAATTCTTTTGTACCCTTCTCCTGACTGATACCTTTTAACAGTGAGATCCCTCTGATGCGTTGGAAGCCCTCTGCAGACCATAGCTTTCACTGTAGGATGTAACTAAGAAAATAAAATGTCAGGAAAGACCTACTAGAACAGCTGAACTTTCTGTGGGGTAAGCAGAGGCACTTTAAATGATGAGAGGTGTGCACTGACTCCTATTTAACATGATTTTGAATGTGATTGCTCAGTTTCGAGCACAGCTACATCCCCAGTTATAAGAGGGTGTGCACACTTATGCATCTACGTTATTTTAGTTTTTTTTATGTTTTTTTATCTTTGTCTTTTTTTTTTTACATCATCACAGGAACCTGACATTTTAACAGGGATGTGTAGACTTTTTATATCCACTGTATCTATATATTTATATATTCTTTTTTTTTTTTTTCTTCATCTTTTAGTTAATTGACAGAACAAGAATTGTTATTGTGCCTCTTGTCAATCCCGATGGCAGAGAAAAAGCAACAGAGAAAGAGTGCATCTCAAAAATTGGACAAACCAATGCTAATGGCAAGGATCTGGACAGTGATTTCATAAGTAAGGAATTTAAAGTTTCTTTTAATAGTTATCTCATGTGAAATTTTTTTTTTCTATACTGCTTGCTATTCACGAAGATGAGTCATTTTGGGAATAAATGTTTCTTTTGACTTTCCTGAGTTCTCTCCAGTGTAATACAAGTTCAGTAGTCTAGGATCTTGTCTCCAGTGAATGTGTTAAAGAATTTATTTTTTTTACTGCACACTATTACATACAAAACAGTTGCATCGGTTTGGCATAGGTTCTTAGATGAAAAACCTCTTTCACTCTGAGAGAAGATTTTTTTTGTGTATCTTTACTGTATTTTTTTCTTATTAATCTTTGGTTGAGCCTTCTATCAACAACTGATTGCTTATTGCCTCATGGCTCACTAGCAATTTCAGGATCTGTTACCCTCGATGTACACCTTGGGAACCATACACAGACCCTGCATCATGTGAGCCAGCCTTTAATGTTTGCTTCATGCACTGGATATTGTGTTTTAGAGCTCATCTTGGTACATGGAGTGATTTAGCTGCAGGGTGCTAAACAGGTCTAGGGCCTTGGTACAAGACCTCTTTGGGTGCATGCCCATTGTGACAGTCTGGACCCTGAGCAGGACCAGTGACATGCATAAGGTAAGACAGGGTTTTCTGTACAATACATACCAGTTCCTGGCTATTCGTGTCGTGTTGGATTATTGGTATACATTACTTTTTTTTTGACAAGACACACTGTAGTGCTAAGCACACAGACAGTTTTTCAAGGCACGAGTTATGTGTGCACTTTAGTGCCTCACCACTGGAAGTGGAAGCTTCTGACTAGTGACGTAATGCCTATAAGGCTGCTGAATGAGCACTTCTGGCCTCCATTTACCAGCAAAGACACAAGCTGAACACTTTGCCATCTCACTTGTTGACGAATACCTCACAGAAAAAGCCACAGGAAATCAGTTAGCGCGCTTGAGTTATTGTGATTCCTTCATTCCATTCACACGTTGAATCCCCTCAGTGTGCATTCATTCTGTGTTTACCCTGCAGGGGTGGATCCTCATTTATCAGTGGCAGATTACAGGTGCTCAGGAGCTCAGGAGCTGGAGCACGTGGGACACATAGCAGCCATTCTGCCACAGGCTCTTAGGAAACCTAAGTTCCTCTCATGTTGTTAGTAGTTCCCTTGTTCTGGAGCAACATTCTATACTGACAATAATGCACCCCTCTGAATTGAGCAACTCATCAGATGTGTACCACATAGCCGAACTGTCTAAAGTGGACTTTTGAAACTAATGCTGATTTAAAGGCAAATTTGTCTTTATTACATTTTTGCATTAAATTTTACAAACCAAAGCAAAAGGAATAGTAATAGCATGTACAAGCAAGTATATAGAAATGTGGAGAGTAAGTAAGTATAAATAGTTCCATACAACAAAAAGATGATAGGATCAACCACATTCATTACAGAATTTATAAAAAAAAAACCATAATTTCTGGGGGGAGTATCCCTGGGTGAGACTTGGGGAACAAATAGATGTACCTCCGTATAACTCAGTATATAAACCCAACTTAGGAAAAAAGTTAAAGAAGTATAGAAAGAAAAGAGAAAAGCCAGTTTTAGACACAGTAAAGGACAAGAAGGGAGAGGGTCGGGAGGCGGGGATGGCAAAAAGCAGAGCCAAAGTGGTCCACCACCAGGACCCCATTGGTGTGACCCAGCAGCCCGTAGCCAAGCGGGGGCAGTAAGGTCAAACTGCTGGTCATTGCAAAATGAACCGGGTAAACGAGGCTCAACTCTATTAGGACACAATAGGGGAGCACAATTCTCGGAGAGTCGAAGAGGAGGAGAAATGGAGCCAGACTGACCATAGTAACTTGTGTTTATCTTAGGTATCATTGGCAAACGCCAACATTTCCTCCATATGCATGATATCATCATCCACGGAAGAGGCGGGGAGGGTGGCCATATTCCAAAAGAGGGATATCAATTGGCAAGCCGCAGATAGAAAGAAACACAACAAACTTTTCTTCTGTGCTGCCAGTGAGCCTGGTAGTATGGAGAGGAGAGCAATCTCCGGTGAAGAGACCGAGAACTCACCATAGATCCTGTTATATACTTCAAAAACTGGACGTCAGAAGGGTTAAATCAGGGCACAATCCCACCAAATGTGGAGCTGTGTACCGACAACTTTAGTACAGTGCCAACAGAGATTGGACATAGAAGGAAATATTTTCTGTAGGGAGAGGGGGTCCCTGTACTATCAAGAAAGGAGCATAAAGCTCTTTTCCTGCGAAATAACAGGAAATAGACAATTTATGAGTGAAATGGAACAACGTAGACCAGTCCTCAGTCGAAATGTCTCTACCTAGGTTTCGAGCCCAACCAGTCCCCTAGGACCTCCCTGAAGAAGCAGAAGACCCGTCTGGGGGGCAAATAAAGTCCCAAGCTACAAGCCATGAGGCGTGCAAAAAGGAACTGATAGCAGAGGATCCCAACCCTTTGTGGAAGAGAGCGGGGTTATCAAATAAGGATTGATAGCGGTGAGGGATCGGAAGATAAAAGTGCAATGACACTTCCTTTATACCAAAGCCGTAGCACAGCCACAGTTAATGGGGACAGGCCGGAGAAACTTTGAAAGTCTTAGCCATAACACGATTGTAGGGCGCAAAGATGGGATAGATCTTGTTCTATCATGCAAGAGGCTTTACGGAAGGGTCTGGGGAACCAATCAAGCATCTGGGCCAGTAACGTGGCTCTATAGTATAGTTCAAAGTCAGGCAACCCACTCCTCCCCCGAGTTTCAGATAAGTAAGTAACCTATCCTTTAACCTCGAGAACCCTCAATGCCAAATAAATCCTGATCGAAAGAGAACGCAGAGAGAGAAAAAAACTCCACAGGTACAGAGATCAATACAGTCTGGAAAACTTAGGTAAGGTAAATTATGGAAACAATGTAGCGCTACTCGCTTGTATTCAAATAAACATGTGGACAAATAAAACACCTAGTAGATAAAATATCAAATAAATGAACAAAATTGGTGTCCACTAAAGTGAAATCATGCACATCACTTAATAATACACAGATGTGAATGAGTCTAAATTCCTTTAGTGAAAAATCAATCCTTCCAACTGAAAAAACAATACGTGCTTTTACAAGTGAATATATACATATATACATAAAGAGTGTGCATTAACATATATCTGTACCTAAACATACCCCATATAGTGAATAAGTAAAAAATTGTGCATATATGTAAACTCAATAAGTGCAACTGCACACAAACAAAATATATTTCCGTGCATATAAAGTCCAAATAAGAATGATCACACTCAGGTGAACAAAAACACTCGTGCTGGTATTTGTGTGCAAAAGTGGGTTGATAGTTGAGCAGAAGATCATCCGAACATCGGCTGAATCAGCCTCTCACCTTAAAGATTCGACCCTTGCGAGTCAAAACGTTTAATAGGATCCCCCTCACAGATCCTCCAGGTAAGTATCAGTATTTGTGTTGGGAGTTATCCTGAGCGCAAGAGGTTCACACCATTATAACTTAGGTAAGGTATCCATCTTAAGGGTGTTTATGCGTCCGAACCGAACCAGGGCATAGCAGAAGCGCCACACAAAGTCCGATCTCTACGTAATCACGAAAGCAGGGGTAAATAATTAAAGGAATATAGAATATTCAGATCTGAGGAAATAAAGACCCCAAGATACGTAATGGCCTTTGGTCGCCATTGAAAAGAGAAATTAGAGTGTAGGTTCATCAACACATGGTCAGGTAAAGAGATATTCAAAGCTTCCGTTTTTAGAGATCTTAAGTTTAAAGTTACTAAATAAACCAAATCTGTGAAACTCGTGGAGTAAACTAGGGAGTGAGATAAGTGGCTGTTGTATGTTAACCAAAAGGTCAGCTGCGTAAAGAGATAGTTTGTGGTGAGAAGAGGGAGTGCGAATACCCACAATCGAGTCGCAAGATGTTCCAAAACAAAAAGAAGGGGAGAGAGGGGACATCCCTGTCTGGTCCCGTACAATATGGGGAAGGACAAAGAAACCGTAGCATTCACCAGGACAGACGCTGAAGGATGAGAATAGAGGGACATAATCTTAGTGAGAAACCGTGAACTCAGACCTATCTGCTTTAGGGTAAGGCGTAGAAAGCGTCAGTCAACACAGTTGAATGCCTTCTCAGTGTCAAATGAAAGGAGGCAAGCCTTTAAGCCGTGTTGCTTGATAAAAGAGATAAGATGGATTGTTTTAGAAGTATTATCCGTAGCTTCTCGACCGGGGGCAAAGCTGACTTGATCATGGTGGATCAAAGTTGGTAAAAAGGGCGAGAGGCGGTTAGCTAGGAGTTTCACAAAAAGCTTAACATCAAGGTTAAGTTGGGAAATTGGGCGATATAGCTAACCCAAAGGGAGGGGTCCTTGCCTGGCTTAGGAATGACCGAAATATTGGTGGACAAAGCTGGAGAGGGCACAGAGTCGTCGATAACATTAAAAGCTAGGGCTAGAAGTGGGGCTAGTTGGGTGGCGAATGTTTTGTAAAATTTTGGGGTAAACCTATCCGGACCCGGAGAATTACCAGTTTTAAGGACCTTAATTGCCCCGAGAACGTCCGTAATCGAGAAGGGCTCCTCTAGATCAAAGCGTCTGATTATCCAGAACCAGTAACGCCGTCTCCGTGATATATTGGGACACAGTCGGGAGATCAAAATCAGAAGAAGCAGCAGAATTCGCTGAGGACAAATTATAAAGTTGAGCATAATAGTGTTCAAATGCGGAAGAGATTCCTTTGTTGTGGTAGAGTTTGGCATTGTCAGGCGCCTTAATATGTTGGATCGGATGACGGGACGCTCGAGGATGGAGTACACGAGCCAGGTGTTGGCCACATTTGTTAGCTAAGGAATAATAAGTGTTGCGTGCTTTGTCTCTTGCGGCAAGGGAAGAAGTATCTAAGAGTTGAAGTAAGTCTCTACAGGTGTTAGATAAGTCTCTGCGAGCACCGGGTCCAACGTGCGCTTGTGAGAGGATTCGCGATGAGCGAAAATTGCCGACGAATCTCCGCCGTCTGAGCTTTTTTAGGCAAGAGCCATGTTTAATAAGAACCCCTCTAATAACACATTTAAGGGTCTCTCATTGAGTAAGGGGGCCTGTAGTGTCCAATGCATGATCAAGAACAAAGTCTTTATGACCTCCGCAACACATAAGGAGTCTTTGAGCAGGATGTCGTTCAAACGCCACAAGAAGTGACATGAAGACATCGGTCGATCATGAATCATAAGATGGATTGAGGCGTGGTATGACCATAAGAAATGACCAAGAGAGGATGGAGTCGGGTAATCAAGGAAGGACTGTGAGACAAAGAAGTAGTCTATACAGCTGTAAGACGCATGGGCCAGAGAATAAAAACTATAATCACACTCCGAAGGGTGTTGGACACGGCAAACATCCACTAAGTGCAATTCATGCAAACGTGATTTAATTTGAGATAAGACCGATGTGGAGAGAGAAGATTTACCTGCGGAAGTGTCAAAGCCAGGAGAAAGAGCTACATTGACGTCTCCCCCCAACAATGAAACAAGGACCCCGAAAAGCAGACCGCTCGGAAAAAAAACGCTGCGAGAAATGGACCCTGATCCTGATTGGGAGCGTAAACGTTTGCCACTGTAAAAACAAAATCTGGATATTTCAATTTAAGGAAAAGGTAGCGACCAGCTGAAAAACTATGGAGTCCAGGACCTCCGGGTCGAAGATATGATGAAAGGCCACCGACACACCCCTAGAGAAACGCCTGTGGGTTTGTACTATGATACCACTGAGTATAGTAATGATTGCAGTGGACCGGGATACCATCTGAGCGGAAGTGAGTGTACTGGAGGAGCAAAATCTGCGATCTGTGTTTGTGAAAATGGTAGAACATTTAAAGTGTTTAAAGCCCCTTCAATTAACAGAGGAAAGGTTAATTGGGGTCATGTTCCTCCAAGGTAAAGCAAGATCGGAAAAATGTGTGTCACTGACAATGCTTCGCTGACCTGACCCCCTGACTCCCGAGAGAGAAAAGAAAAAAGAACAATAAGAGGAAGAAAGAAAAGGAGATTAAAGAAGGCACTAGCGGAAAATAGATATAAAGCTGAGAAAGGAAAGTCAGAAGAAGGAAGAAAGTAAAAAGAAAGAACGAATAGACAGGCGAACTGTCTAAATAACATACAGTGTGTCAATACACAGTACACTAAAGGCCTAGGTGGGGAACATCAGAGGCGCATGTATCCAGTCCCGATGCAGGCCTCCTGCAGAGAAACGTCAACCTTGAGGGAGGTCACTCTCATATAAGAATAATCTCCCCCTACAAAATGTGTTTAGTAAACCCTAAAACAATCGTGAAAGATAAGCTATCCCCCCATCAAGTAAGCATAACCCGGTAATAAAGGGGACACACACACACACACACACACACACACGCACGCACGCTCTCCCCCCCACACACCCCCACACACACACGCCCCGCTCTCTCTCACACACACACACGCTCTCTCACACACGCTCTCTCACCACTCTCTCACACCCCTCTCTCACACACTCTCTCACACACTCTCCCACACACTCTCTCACACACTCTCTCACACACTCTCTCACACACTCTCTCACACTCTCTCACACACACTCCCCTCCCACTCTCTCACCCCTCTCTCACACACTCTCTCACACTCTCTGGAGGGAAGACACACTCTCTCACACCTCTCTCACACTCTCTCACACTCTCTCACACACACTCTCTCACACTCTCACACACACTCTCTCACACTCTCTCACACACTCTCTCACACTCTCTCACACTCTCTCTCACACTCTCTCTCACACTCTCTCACTCACACACACACACTCACTTTGTTTCCTTGGTGTCAGACTTGTCAGAAGTGATTTATGCTGATAGCAGAGGAATGAAGCTGCATACAGAAATAGCACTTGGTGTTCTTAATTAAGACACAAGTACACACTATAGAGGGATATCCTTTGTTCCTATTTCATGTCTGCAGTTTACAACCACTTTAAGTAATAGAAAATTCATATTTATTTGAATGTTCAATTGCCATTGCATTTTAAGATATAAAATGATTTTAATTTTGTTGTTCTAATACAAAGCTCTGCGGACTGAAGATGATTGTGTTTTGTTGTAGAACCTACTCCTTTTATAGATAAGCATTTTAATAAGTTTTTTTTTTTTTGTCTAGGTAACTCCTCTGGTCCTGTTGGTGAGAGGGAAAAAGAGACTAATGTTATTATTGATGGTTTAATCTTGAAGCAAGATTTCACCCTATCTGTAGTTTTGGATGGTGGCTCTCTTCTAGTTACTTATCCTTATGATAACCCAGTGCACACAGGTGAGTAAAGTAGCACTTATACAGTATGTTGTCACCTTGTCGCAACATTTGCATAGAGCTCACACTTGTTCACCTTTTTGTCAACTAGTCTATTTTTTATTTTTCTCAAGACTTAGTTCATACCATGTTTCCCCAAAAATAAGACAGTGTCTTATATTAATTTTAGGTAAAAAAAATGCACTAGGGCTTATTTTCAGGTAGGTCTTATTTTTATTGACTTTTATTTATTTTCATTCACTTGGTGACAACCCCTCCGACGATCCCCGCAGGATGGATCGGATCTGTGGATTGAGCATAATGAATCAGAGTCCGATCCATTATCCTCCCCAATCCGCAATTCCGATCCATCCAGCGGGGATCGTCAGCTTGCAATCTAACTAATCTCTAAACCAGGTCCACAAAAAGGTACGTTTTAAAGCAAGCCCCCCCTCTCTCTCTGCCCTCTTTCTCCCCCCCCCCCTCTCTCTCTGCCCTCTTTCTCCCCCCCTCTCTCTCTGCCCTCTTCTGCCCTCCCCCCCCCCCTCTCTCTGCCCCTCTTTCTCCCCCCCCCCCCCCTCTCCCCCCCTCTCTCTGCCCTCTTTCTCCCCCCCCCCCTCTCTCTCTGCCCTCTTTCTCTCCCCCCCCCCCTCTCTCTCTGCCCTCTTTCTCCCCCCCCCCCCCTCTCTCTCTGCCCCCCTCTTTCTCTGCCCTCTTTCTCCCCCCCCCTCTCTCTCTCACTGCCCTCTTTCTCCCCCCCCCCCCCACTGCCCTCTTCCCCCCCCCCCCCCCCCCCCCACTGCCCTCTTCCTCCCCCCCCCCCCCACTGCCCTCTTCCTCCCCTTCCCCTCGCTCTCCCCCCTACCTACTACATGAAACTGCAGTGCTGTCACCAGGGTCGGGGATTACATACTTACCTGCTGCATACTCTGCCCGCCCCTCCAGCTCTCCGACTTCCGCACCTATGGCAGGTATGTGGACCCGCCCCTCTGCTGAAACTTCGAGGACGAGAGGTGTCCGAAGTGCCTGCCTTACTCTCCGTCCCCTCATTGCCTGCTCATTTCAGAAGCGGCACATACAGGGACGGACTGAGCCTCTCATGGGGCCCTGCAGTGACCCCGGGTCCTCGGGCAGTGCCTCAATGGTCAGTCCGCCCTGGTGGAGGTAGGTCTTATTTTCGGGGGACGGCTTATATTAGCGGTACTTCAAAAAGTACTGCTAGGTCTTACTTTCGGGGAAACATGGTACTAGCCTGCATGATAAAACACAGCTATTGGTGTGAGCTCTGTCAGGGAGCTTTATACAGTCAGGTCCATAAATATTGGGACATCGACACAATTCTAACATTTTTGGCTCTATACACCACCACAATGGATTTGAAATGAAACTAACAAGATGTGCTTTAACTGCAGACTGTCAGCTTTAATTTGAGGGTATTTACATCCAAATCAGGTGAATGGTGTAGGAATTACAACAGTTTGCATATGTGCCTCCTACTTGTTAAGGGACCAAAAGTAATGGGACAATTGGCTTCTCAGCTGTTCCATGGCCAGGTGTGTGTTATTCCCTCATTATCCCAATTACAATGAGCAGATAAAAGGTCCAGAGTTCATTTCAAGTGTGCTATTTGCATTTGGAATCTGTTGCTGTCAACTCTCAAGATGAGATCCAAAGAGCTGTCACTATCAGTGAAGCAAGCCATCATTAGGCTGAAAAAACAGAACACACCCATCAGAGAGATAGCAAAAACATTAGGCGTGGCAAAAACAATTGTTTGGAACATTCTTAAAAAAAAAGGAACGCACCGGTGAGCTCAGCAACACCAAAAGACCCGGAAGACCACGGAAAACAACTGTGGTGGATGACCAAAGAATTTTTTCCCTGTTGAAGAAAACACCCTTCACAACAGATGGCCAGATCAAGAACACTCTCCAGGAGGTAGGTGTATGTGTGTCAAAGTCAACAATCAAGAGAAGACTTCACCATAGTGAATACAGAGGGTTCACCACAAGATGGAAACCATTGGTGAGCCTCAAAAACAGGAAGGCCAGATTAGAGTTTGCCAAACGACATCTAAAAAAACCTTCACAGTTCTGGAACAACATCCTATGGACAGATGAGACCAAGATCAACTTGTACCAGAGTGATGCGAAGAGAAGAGTATGGAGAAGGAAAGGAACTGCTCATGATCCTAAGCATACCACCTTATCAGTGAAGCATGGTGGTGGTAGTGTCATGGCGTGGGCATGTATGGCTGCCAATGGAACTGGTTCTCTTGTATTTATTGATGATGTGACTGCTGACAAAAGCAGCAGGATGAATTCTGAAGTGTTTCGGGAATATTATCTGCTCATATTCAGCCAAATGCTTCTCAGAACTCATTGGATGCCGCTTCACAGTGCATATGGACAATGACCCAAAGCATACTGCAAAAGCAACCAAAGAGTTTTTTAAGGGAAAGAAGTGGAATGTTATGCAATGGCCAAGTCAATCACTTGACCTGAATCCAATTGAGCATGCATTTCACTTGCTGAAGACAAAACTGAAGGGAAAATGCCCCAAGAACAAGCAGGAACTGAAGACAGTTGCAGTAGAGGCCTGGCAGAGCATCACCAGGGATGAAACCCAGTGTCTGGTGATGTCCATGCGTTCCAGACTTCACGCTGTAATTGACTGCAAAGGATTTGCAACCAAGTATTTAAAAAGTGAAAGTTTGATTTATGATTATTATTCTGTCCCATTACTTTTGGTCCCTTAACAAGTGGGAGGCACATATGCAAACTGTTGTAATTCCTACACCGTTCACCTGATTTGGATGTAAATACCCTCAAATTAAAGCTGACCGTCTGCAGTTAAAGCACATCTTGTTTGTTTCATTTCAAATGCATTGTGGTGGTGTATAGAGTCAAAAATGTTAGAATTGTGTCGATGTCCCAATATTTATGGTCCTGACTGTACATAGTGACACTTAATTCATATATTCACACAGTAGTGTGGTGCATTGCGCTGCACTGTGGCGACATGCAGTGCCTTCCAGTGCACTGCAAAAAATGCAGGCAAACACATCGCCCATCACACAAGTGCGAACAATTGTGCCCTGGTGATGCCTTGCTTTTTATCTAGTACAGAAAAGCTCAGGTCACCACAGATAGTTTGAAGAACCCTAAAATTGGGCATAGTTTGTATATTTTCTTGTCAGGTTAGTTTGGTGAATCTTTTACAGATCTATCTTCCTTGTAAATTGTCAAGGCTGTTGTCTGTAACAGCAATTTACACTAGTGATCAAATTCTTCCAGGTGTTAAAATGATTGTACCTCTTAGATTTTTTTGGTTGATTTATTTTTCTTATTTATAAACAGAATTATTAATACTGCTGTTTATGTATTTTTATATAACAGTAGAGAACAAGGACACTCTGAAACATTTGGCTTCTGTCTATGCAAATAACCATCCTACAATACATCTGGGACATCCAGGATGCCCAAACAAGTCAGGTTGGTATTCAACAAGCATTTGTGTTCACCAAAAATTAGTTATGTGATGTTAATATTTATGGTTGTATATTTCTCTGGGTAGATGAGAATATTCCTGGAGGAGTGATTAGCGGAGCAGAATGGAGGGGACATCAAGGCAGCATGAAGGTAACCCACCATAAAAATATTGGCAAGAAATGTGAGTCATTCTCTACATATGTATTATTATCAGGGAGTTTTGAATCTTATTTCTACAGTGCAGGACTCTTCATAGAACATTGGTTATATGCAGGCTACCTTCCGATGATTGGACACTGGCACAAACCTTGCTAAGACCACCTCTAGAGTACACCCATATTACCCCCAACTACTCCGTGAGACCAGCTTTTTGCTAGTGTCCTTAGGGGCTGAATCTATTCTCTAGAGAAGTGTTACTTTTGTTTTCTTACCATTCTGGTTTTTTTATTCCTCTTAAACCTCTATTAAGATCTGACTGCTTACTACTAACGGCGTCCTAGCAGTTTCTGGATTTGGTACTCTTTTAGTGTGTACCTTGGGAACTACCCGGCCTGTTAATTTGTGTTTCAGACTCTTGGTCCTCTTTTAGGAGCTCACCTTGGTACGTAGTGAAATGTGTACAGTTAGCCACACTGTTTTACATAGGTCCAGGGTTGTGGTCCATTTCTATGGTTTCCAGACCCTGAGGACCACTTTGAGTATGACCGCCGTGATGAGTGATGCCTGGACCTTTAGTAGGCCCAGTATCTTAAGGTAAGACAGGGTGTATGGACATCAGTTCCTGGCTTTAAGTAACACAATCAGTGCGTAACACAATATGCATATATGGGAGGTATTTTGGAAACCCCTGCCATTTTTTTGTCCCTAATGTTTCTCAGTGCACCTTTGCTACACCATGTTCTGGTGTGAACTGGCCTTAAGACATGAAAATTCTTCTTCTCTCTGTACACAAGAGTATCACTATATATTATTTGTGTAAAGGATGTGACACCTATTTGTAAACCCCAACCGAGAATATACTGTAGGCTTGATCTTTATCAATAATTATATTTTTAGGTTTTATTTTAACTTTGAGACTTGTTGCTTTAACCTATTGTGTGTGTGTGTGTGTGTGTGTGTGTGTGTGTATATGTATATATATATATATATATATATATATATACAGTGGGGATCGAAAGTTTGGGCACCCCAGCTAAAAATTTGTATTAATGTGCATAAAGAAGCCAAGGAAAGATGGAAAAATCTCCAAAAGGCATCAAATTACAGATTAGACATTCTTATAATATGTCAACAAAACTTAGATTTTATTTCCATCATTTACACTTTCAAAATAACAGAAAAAAAAAAATGGCGTCTGCAAAGGTTTGGGCACCCTGCAGAGTTAATATCTTGTACTGCCCCCTTTGGCAAGTATCACAGCTTGTAAACGCTTTTTGTAGCCAGCCAAGAGTCTTTCAATTCTTGTTTGAGGTATCTTTGCCCATTCTTCCTTACAAAAGTCTTCCAGTTCTTTGAGATTTCTGGGCTGTCTGTCACGCACTGCTCTTTTAAGGTCTATCCATAGATTTTCAATTATGTTGAGGTCAGGATATTGTGAAGGCCATGGCAAAACCGTCAGTTTACGCCTCTTGATGTAATCCCCCATGGATTTTGAGGTGTGTTTAGGATCATTATCCATTTGTAGAAGCCATCCTCTCTTTAACTTCAGCTTTTTCACAGATGGCATCAAGTTACCATCCAAAATTTGCTGAAATTTTATTGAATCCATTTTTCATTCTACTCGTGAGATGTTCCCTGTGCCACTGGCTGCAACACAACCCCAAAGCATGATTGATCCAACCCCATGCTTAACAGTTGGACAGAGGTTCTTTTCATTAAATTCTGTGCCCCTTCTTCTCCAAACGTACCTTTGCTCATTCCGGCCAAAAAGTTCAATTTTAACCTCATCGGTCCACAGTTTCCAAAATGCATCAAGCTTGTCTATATGTTCATTTGCAAAGTTCAAACAATGATTTTTGTGGTGAGGATGTAGAAGAGGTTTTCTTCTGATGACTCTTCCATGAAGACCATATTTGTACAAGTATCTCTTTATAGTGGGATAGTGTACCACAACTCCAGTGTCTGCCAGATCTTTCTGGAGGGATCGTGCAGTCAAACGTGGGTTTTGAATTGTTTTTCTCACAATCCTGCAAGCTGTTCTGTCTGATATTTTTCTTGGTCTTCCAGATCTTGCTTTAACTTCCACTGTTCCTGATGACTGCCATTTCTTAATTACATTCCAACAGAGGATATTGATATATGAATGCTATCTTCTTATAGCCTTCTCCAGCTTTGTGAGCGTCAACTATTTTCAGTTTCAGTTTTCTAGACAACTGCTTAGAAGAACCCATGGTGCTGATTGTTGGGGCAAGGTCAGATGAGTCTGGGCATTTAAAACCTTTGAGATTGACATCACCTAGTCTTCCCAGACGATGATTGAGAACAATCCATGACACTGGCAGGTCTCAGCTTGGCAAAGGGGGCAGTGCATGCTATAAATTCTGCAGGGTGCCCAAACTTTTGCAGACGCCATTTTTTTGTTTTCTGTTATTTTGAAAGTGTAAATGATGGAAATAAAATCTAAGTTTTGTTGACATATTATAAGAATGTCTAATCTGTAATTTGATGCCTTTTTGGAGATTTTTCCATCTTTCCTTGGCTTCTTTATGCACATTAATACAAATTTTTAGCTGGGGTGCCCAAACTTTCGATCCCCACTGTATATATTTATTATTGTGAGGAATTAGCCCAGTAGCAGGTTGTGCTTGACTCCCTGGATGAGTCAGAGCACGGTGAAAGAGGCACAGCAGGATCTTGATGAATAAAATTGTGCTTTATTTACAAGGCAGGTGAACACACGGTGCATATATTCAAAAACAGCAAAACAAAAACTGAAAATAAAGCCTTGCCACACTAGGCTACGAACTACAAACACAGGTTCCTATCTAGCTGTCTGGATACAGCCTATCGCTGCTCAGACACAGAGGGGTTTATTTACTAAAGCTGGAGAGTCCAAAATCAGACTCCCTTCTGCATAGAAACCAATTAGCTTCCAGGTTTCATTGCCAAAGCTTCATTGAACAAGCTGAGGTTAGAAGCTGACTGGTTTCTATGCAGAAGGGAGTCTGATTTTGGACTCTCCAGCTTTAGTAAATAAACCTCAGAGTGTTCACACAGTCCAAAATCACACAGATTTACTCTCACCACAGTATAGTTTGGTTGCTTCTCAGTCTGTCCTGCACAGCAAACTGGTTCCAGGTTGGAGCATTCTCCTTAAGCAGCCTTAGAGATTTATAGAGCCCAGAGACCTTAACCTACTACAGCTGAGCTAATTACCCCAGTGAGCCAAAAAGGCTCACTACACAGCACAAGAGAAACAGTCTGTGTAAAGCATGAACCCGGGACAAATATATCTCCCATCCTGGACACATCCCTTTGTTCTTCCTGAACTCCTGTCACTATATATATATATATATATATATATATATATATATGCGCTTACTGCCAGTTGGTAGAGGGATAGTATTAAATTATGGACTGAAATGTCCTCATAGTTGGGATTTATCTGCATTCTATGTAGCACCCAAAATTTGGATGTATGTAGGTAGTGAATATTATACACTGCAGAGAAGCACAGCGTGCTTGTTTTAATTACAAGTAGAAACATTCAAGCAGCATGTCTTTCTCTGTATAAAAGAACACCAGTAAAGCTTATTTTGTCGCTAAAGACGCCCTGTTACGGAGTAAGAGCTTAACAAAATGTTAAATTAATGTATTTTTGCAGGATTTCAGTGTTACTCATGGTCATTGTCCAGAAATCACTGTGTACACTAGTTGCTGCTTGTTTCCTGGTGCTGGGCAGCTGAAGTCCCTCTGGACTGAGAACAAGAAATCCCTTCTGGCCATGCTAGTTGAGGTAAGATCTAAGCGCTAGGACTCAATGCATTAATTTCATTTTGCAGACTAAATATTTATGTACCTTCAAGTGATTCTAAAGGTTGTAATTAAAAACAATTATACCAAAATGTTATACTTACCTGCTCTTTGCAATGATTTTACACAGAACAGCCCCGATCTTCTTCATTTTAGTTCTCCCGCTGGCAGTCCTGGCTCCTCCCTCCAGCAGAGTGCCCACAATAGCAAGCCTGCTGCTATGGGGACACTTGAGCAGGCTTGCTCCCGAGCTGCCCTACTGTGAGTGGACATTGTCCATTCACACACAGAGCATGGCTTGGCCTTGCCTCCTACTCTCTCCTCATTGGCATACTGGCTATAATTGACAACTCCAGGAACCATTGGCTCTTGCTGCTGTGTGAGCCAATGAGGAGAAAGAGAACTAGGAGAGTCGCAGCTCTCATGCACGCGGCGGGAACTGCACCCAGAAGGTTTTTTTTAGCTTAATACATAGAATGCATTAAGGTAAAAAAACCTTCTACCTTTAGAACCACTTTCACTTACCTTATTGTATTTGGCTTTAAAAGTCAGCTACCCTCAAAACGGACATTTAAGTTGGTTGCTGGCAAGTTGTATCTCATGCTGTCTTCTGTTTCTTTGAGACTTCAGAGGTAAGATTTAAAGCATCCCTGTTACAATCATACCAACACAAATGGTTGGTGTCACACAGAAAGCTGCGTTTGGGAAAGGTCTTTGTTATAGTCTTAAAGTGACCCTGTCACTACTGGGTCACTCGTAAATAAAGCCCAGCCCGTAAAATATGGGAATGCCATCTATTTGCTGCTTACCGGCCTGCTACAGGTACTCAGCACAGCTGGTGGTGATTAATATCTGATTCCTTCCACTCGTACGTCCTGTAGTAAAATACAAGGTAGCTAGAGCAAATACAGGGTGTGGTAGGAGTAGCAGGCTTCGCACAGCCAGAAATGTTGAATTATTGCAACAAGCAGCAAAGCACCAGAGTTTCAACAAACTGGCCTGTTTATTGCCTGTTATTTCTTAGTCTGTGTTTTATTTACAACTGAGTCTGTGCTGAAGGGGGGCACTTTAAAGGGAAGGGGATAGGTGGTTTCCTACTGTACATAGTCTTCACTGAAATATCAGTTTTAGGTAGAGCTCTTTTTAACAGAATATGGTATAATTAATCACATAGTGTCTTTGTTTTGCCAGGCCTAGGACTCCGTGTATTATTGTGTTGACGTGTTTAAAGGGTATCTGAAGCCATTTTTTTTTTTTTCATTTAGTTCTAGTTTTATTTTTTTTTTTTTTTTTTTGAATATAGTGAAGAGGCTTTTTATTGCTGTCTGCTTCCCAACTGGGAAGAGTTAGCTTCTCTGTGTGTTCTAGTCACCATTGTCACTGGGATTGAGAAACTAAGAGTAAAAAAAAATTTTAAATTCTTACTGAAATTTGGTTACTTTGGAGTGTCTCCTCTCGCCTCCTGTTCTATCCTGAGACAGGAATCAGAAAAAACTCCCAAACGGGACACAAAGTAAATTTGATTGGTTGCTGTATAATTCCGTTTTGTATATCATGACTGTTTTTTGTTTAATAAACATTGCATTCAGTGTGCTTTTTTGAGTGCAGTAAACTTTAGGCTTTGGAATTTGGTCAGAACCTTATAATCTCAAAATTATTAACATTAGAAACATTTTCTGATACAAGTAAGACTGCAGCCACTGATGGGTTAAAAAAGAAGACAAAAGTAACTAGAGTAGGCAGTAACGTAAATGGAAATTGAGCGTGTAATAGAATCTTTGGATTTAAAGGTTTTCCATCAATAAATGATAGGGAAGTAATACAGCCAGCTCTGCTCCTGTTCACTTTGACAACAGGACTGTGAATCAGGCAAGGGTGTGTGTGCTGTGTATAGCTGTCAGTCTGTTTTTACACATCTTACATTTACTCTGTATTATGGGTTTATTCAGTTGTGTCTTTACTGGTCCATAGTGCATGTGTTTTTTTTATTTTATTGATTGATTTGTGTAATATTACGATATCATGAGGGCACTTATGTTTTACCTCTTTTATTTGTTTGATTTTAAGTACAATTCTTTTTTGTACAATGCTTGCTTGATCTCATGACAATGAACTTTCCACAGTTCTTGATTATCACATTCTGTACTATGTCTCCGAAATGGTAAACATTGCATTTGGTGCCAGCTCTGTCTAATACAGTGTGTTCAGTAATGAGGTGAAAGTCCTCACAATACATTTCCTGGTTCCAGGTACATAAAGGTGTGCATGGTATTGTAAAGGATGAGAAGGGAAAACCTGTCCCTAAAGCCACGATCATCTTCAATGAAGGAGTAAAAGTCTACACCAAAGAGGGAGGATACTTCCATGTTCTGCTTGCACCAGGTTACCATAATATTAATGCCATTGCAGAGGGCTATCAGCAGCAGCAGAATACTCAGGTATGACTTTGCTCTAATACATTATATTATTAATATAGGACATTCAGATGTTGTCCATCTAAAATTATTGATTTTATATGTGGAGTCTAGTGGGCTAAAACACCTACTGGACCTTTTAACATCTGAGATTTTTGTTACTGGAATCTTGCCCTTTCCCAGCTCTATTCCTTGCATATTGAGTCTCTCACAGCTATAACAGGGATCTTCCTTCACACGCTTTAAAATAAAAACTAAGTTAATAGTATGGTGTTGCTATTCCCTATCAACTCCAGGGTCCCTACAATGAACTCCCTTTATTCTGCAAAAAACTGAAATATTTTTGGATGGACTGATACTTTCTGAAACAAAGATATATACAGTGCATATCGGTGTCTCCAAACAAATGCATGATGTTTTTTTTTTTTTTTTTTTTTTTTTTTTAAAATGGGCACATTATATATTTTTTTTTAATCTTGCTTTTGTCTTTGTCTAAAAAAAGTATTATGGGTATTGTTTGAAATAGTTGTCGCTGCAGTGGGCTTAAATAAAGCTGGTGTTGGTACACATTGTACCACCTTTCCCCCGTGCTTTGCTGTGGTTTAACAAAATAGGTACTGGGGGTACACTGAAGAGATTGTGGGAGTAAAATAAACACCATTGTTGGTTTCAACGGCACCAATAATAACCACCAGTATTGCTGTCATTGCCAGCATGTGCCAGGGCCAGTAGTAAACCCCAGCATGTGTAAGTACTATTATTATTATACAGGATTTTTATAGTGCCAACAGTTTGCTCAGCGCTGTACATTAGAATGGGAGACAGTACACGAGACAGTACAGTAACAATATGATTCAATACACAAGGGGTTCGAGGGCCCTGCTCCTTGGAGCTTACAATCTAGGAGGGAGAGGATAGTGGTACAGGAGGAAATAGCTGTGGGGGATGGAGTGGTAGGAAGAGTGGAGGTGTTCAGTAATTAGCTGAGGGCGGGGTAGGCTTCCCTGAAGAGATAGGTTTTCAGAGTGCGCCTAAAGGTGAGAGAGTAGGTGATAGTCGGATGGATTGGGGTAGGGAGTTCCAGAGGATGGGGGAAGTCCTGGAGACGGGCATTGGAGGAGGAGACCAGGGAACTAGAGAGTAGGAGGTCTTGTGAGGAGCGGAGAGTACGTTTTGGGTGGTATTTGGATACCAGATCGGTGATGTAGTTTGGGGCAGTATTATGAACAGCTTTATAAGTCAATGTTTGCGTTTTGAATTTTATCAGTTGGGCAATCGGGAGCCAGTGGAGTTATTGGCAGAGAGGGGTGGCGGATACGGAGCTGTTAGTAAGGTGGATGAGTCTGGCCGCAGCATTCAAGATAGACTGAAGCGGGGATAGCCTGCGGTGAGGTAAGCCGATGAGGAAGGAGTTACAGTAGTCAAGGCGTGATATAATGAGGGAGTGAATGAGTTGGTTAGTGGTTTCCGGGATTAGTAACGGACATATTTTGGAGATGTTGCAGAGGTGAAGTCTACATGAGTTTGTTAGCAAATGAACCTGGGGCTGGAAGGACAGATTGGAGTCTAGGATGACACCTAGTATTCTGGCTTGAGGGGAGGGACTGATGGTGGTGGTGTTTGTCTTGATAGAGAAGTCAGGGGGGGAGGCACGGGCTGGGGGGAAAACTAGGAGCTCAGTTTTGGAAAGATTTAGTTTGAGGAAGTGGAGTGACATCCAATCCGATAGGTCGCTCAGTAGGCTTGTGATATGGGCGGAGACTGAAGGGGTGATATGAGGGGTAGAGAGATAGATTTGCGTGTCGTTGGCATAGAGATGGTAGTTGAAGCAGTGAGAGTGTATCAGTTGGCCAAGGGAGGAGGTGTAGATGGGGAAGAGAAGGGGCCCGAGGACAGAACCTTGAGGGACCCCACCAGAGAGGGGGAGTGAGGAGGAGGTGGCAGCGTTCTAGGTAACACTGAAGGAGCGCTGTGATAGATAAGAAGAGAGCCAGGAGAGAGCAGAGTCTCGGAGGCCAAGAGTGTAGTTTTTTTTTTTTTTTTTGAGGAGGGGGTGGTCAACCGTGTCGAAAGCCGCAGAGAGGTTGAGGAGTAGGAGCACTGAGTAGTGGCCATTAGCTTTGGCGGTGAGTTTGAGTAGGGCAGTTTCGGTAGGGGGCGGAAATCTGACTGTAGGGGATCAATGAGGTTGTTGTCGGTGAGGAGGGAACTCAGGCGATTATGTGTAAGTATTAGCAGTAACCACCAGCATATGTTGGCTCACTGGCGAGGGAGAAGTTATTATTCTTGTATCTGTTTAAAAAAAGAAATGTTCCCACTGTGGATCTATCCGTGTCCTGCTTTAACAAAGTGACCACCATTCCAGTGGAAGATAAACCTAAGGATCCAACTGATAAGCAGTCGGACGCCCTCTTTCAAAACCTTGCTTTCCCTGGCAGGTCCTGCTCTTCATCCTGTCTTAGCTGTGACTTGACATTGCCAAACTCTGCCTGAATGGTCAAAGGCCCCTAAAAGGGATCTGGATCAGTTTAGCTTCTATCCCCCTCCTCATGTTATTGTCCTAACTGTCCTGTGTCACTGCCCAGATTAGCAGACCTCCCAGGTACTTGTCTCATGTATTTTGGATTAGGGTATCATTGCCCTAATTCCTTTTGCAGTACAGTTTCAGTGATTTACTTCAACCTGTTTAGAGCTCCTAAATCCATCTCCCCCTTCTTGCATCTCAAAGTACTGAATATCTTCATTCAAGCTCGGAACTTCTTTATGGAATCTACCAAGCCTGTCATCTGCAGTCTCCAGGGAGACTTCCTGGAGTCTTTGGACATCAAGGATGTGTTCTTGCATGCCCCCATTGCTCATTGCTTAGAGCACCTGGGTCTAGTTCTGAACACAACTCAGTATGACTTGTGTTACAGATGGGAGAAGTTTGATGTGGACCTTCTGGCCTCCAGTTTCCACAGCAAACTGGACAGGTTAATCTCCAGGTACAATGGAAGCACTGGATGCTCTCATGGCTCCATGGTATCAGTGCGCCCTGATCGGGTTCTTTCCTGCTTTGAAACTACTTCGTAGGCTTTGTCGGAGCCTGAGCGCATTCTGCAGATCCCCATTGATCTCTGTTGGCCCTGATGGATGTGATACTCTGTCCTGATAAAACTAGCAGACACTTCGTGGACTTTTTTAGACTACCCAGATCTTCTATCTCAAGGAAAAATCTACCATCCTGGTCTGCGCTGCAGGATCTAGATAGAGGGCATTCCAGTGATCTTCACTGCTTCAGATTGGCCAAGGCAGATGGTGGGGGGTTCAGCCTGATAACAGTTCTGGCAGACACAACATGAGCCCTGCTAAACTGACTTGATTTAATGACCCAAGGGTCAATCTGCTGTCCTGCTTCACAGTCGCTGGCTTTAACTACATGGCTGTCGAAGCCCAGGTTCTAAGGGATAAAGGCATCTCGGGTTCTGTGATTCCTGTTTGGATATATTACAGCTCCCTATATAGCAGCCTCATTTCTTATTTACATTAAGCCTTTTTTCTTTTTTTTTTTTTTTTAATAACAGACAGGTTTAAACATACTTGCCCTGAACCTCCTTTTCTCAGGTACCCCATCAGTGCTCCTATCTCCACCTTTTTCTGCGAGTGCCCCCAGAGCAACCCACTTGATCCTGAGCCGCGCTGCCTGTACCCATAGACACAGACAGCTTGGCTGGGCTCCACCCCTCCTTCCTGGTGACAGCAGTGGGGGGTGTGGGGCGAAACTGCTACCTAAATGTTTTTTACCTTAATGCAGGGAATGCATTAAGGTAAAAAATGTTAAGGCTTTAGAATCACTATAATGGGCGAAAAAGAGAAAATATATTGGTTTTTTTATTCAGTGTAAAGTTCTTTTCTTGGAGTCCATTGAAGGACTTTTTTTTAATTTTTTGCTGGTGTTCAGTCTCCCTTTAGGCAGCAGTATAACTTGAAGACTTAACCCTTCCTGTGTTCTTCAATAGACTCCAAGAAAAGGTTTTTAAAGTCCGTACAAAAATCTATTTTTTTTTTTTGTTCGAATAAAGCAAGGATTCCACTTTATTTGTTCTTTTGTGTTCTTTCCAGGTTCATGTTCGACATGATGCAGCCAGCTCTGTTGAAATAATCTTTGTCATGGATAACCGTATTTTTGGACTGCCCCGAGAGCTGGTTGTCACTATTGCAGGTAGGATATTGTACCATATTTATTAAAAGTGTCAAAAGGTTACTCATCAATCACATACCTTGGTTATTAATAGCTTTAAGTCCACCCTATAGCAGAAATACTGCTACAGGACGGACTCCCTGCACAAAATCACGTGTATACATACACACGTGATTTTGCATTCCCGGGTAGGGGGTGTGCGCCGCCATTGGTGGCCTCAGCTGTCGATCATTGGGTCCCAGCCGGTGATTCCCCGCCACCACCCGGCAATCGCTGAGTATCACTGACATGGGAGAGACCTGTATATAATCAATACTTCCCGTGCCCCTCCCCCCCATCCTTTCCATCACTACCAACAACTCAACCTCAATCCCGACCGCCAAGCAAGGTCCTTGGCCATTTCTGTACTCCAACCTTTCTTTCAACCTTCATACGCAAATCCTCATCTCTCCCCTGTCAGCTCTTGCACACTGCTTTGTATGGCTCTGCATAGCAGTGACACCAAGTCAGTTCCCCCCAGTGTCAGAATGCCTGCCCCAGTCCCTCTATAAGTCACTGATTGCCACCATTATTAGTAAAAAATAATGCCAGTATAAATACCGCCATTTGTAGATTCTATAAATGTAAAGTTATTTTAACCCTTACCTGTAAAGTGATTCTAATCCTTAACCCTTGTGGCTAGGCAAGGTTTTTTCACTTTAATGTAGAGAAGGCATTAAGGTTAATGAACCTTAAGCATTTTAAGCACTTTAAATCAACTGGCTTAGAGGTTGCAGAAAAACACGGCTTTTTTACTATCTTATTAACCACCTCCCGTCTGGACCTTGGATCGGGACCCTACGCCCCGGTTCACATATATTCAATCGTGCGGGCCACGTTTTGCGTGTGCACAAGAGCCCATTCATTCAGTGTGGGCGGCGTAGAACTAATGGCACCCGCCCGTGGCTGCACGGGTTTTCGTGCGGATCCGCAGCGGCACCACCTGCACAGATGTGAAGCTAGCCTACATCAGGTTTGATCAATTTTCAAATATACATAAAAGTTGTAGACTCTACAACTTTCACACAGACTAAATAATATACACTGGTTTGGGTTATTTGTAGCAGAATACATTTGGCCTAAATTTATGGAAAAAAAGATTTATTTGCAAAATTTTATAACAGAAACTAAGAAAAACGTTTCTGTATTTTTTTTTTTTTGTTTACATAGCAAAAAAAAAAAAAAAATAGCGATGAATAAATGCCAACAAAAAGACTTTCTAAAAGACTTATAAAAATTGCATATGGGTACAGTGTTGCATGACTGAGTAATTGACATTCAAAGTGTGACTGCTTTGAAAGCTTAAATATGCTCTGGACTGGAAGGGGATAAAAGTGTCCAGACCCGAAGTGGTTAAAAGAAATCTGTACTAAGAGAAATGTGAAGGATACTGTTGCTGATCTCCTTCTGAAAATGCTAGCTGCCTGGCTGTCTCTAGTGTCAATACATTTTAAACACAGACCAGGAACAAGCATGCAGACTAGCAAAGTGAAGGCAAAACTCCTGTTGTGCTTACTTGTTACTGGTAATGACTCAAAGTAGTGACACCATAAACTGCAATGCAACTATCATGTTTCTGAATAGCCTGTATATAGGGGTCCACTGTATAGGGATAACACGAGGTCCTCAAATAGGAGCCGTAACCACGATGCGATGCATACAGCACCGAGACGAGAACCGGAAGTGACGTAGGACGTGATGACGTGATGATGTCAGCACTAAGTGGGTAGTAATGTGTTTCAGAGCCTAGAGATGCGGCTTTGTCAAACCGTAGGGGGTTACAGCTCCTGTTTGCGTACCTCATCTCCCTTCTGCTATGCCTGGCATCGCTTCCCAGCCGCATTCTGCTTGATTGCTACAGCCGCTTCACTCTGCCTGCTCCCAGCTGCCTTCCTGATGAACTCTGCAAGTGACTTAAAGTGGAGCTCCACCCAAAAGGGGAAGTTCCACTTTAAGGACTGCTCCCCCGTTCCCCAATAAGGATTGGCACCTTTGGGGGGGGGGGGGGGGGGGGGGTAAGCGGGTACCCGAATTTGAAAGGTACCCACTTCTGGTCCGATCGCCTGGGTGATCGGAAGCGGAAGGTGTCCTTCCTCCCTCCCTGTAGTCTTTTGGGACAAGTGACAGGTCCCAGACAACTACATGACCATTCATGAAGCGCAGCGCTACTCGTGCATGTGCAGTGGGTACCCGGGTGTGAAGCCGCAAGCTATCACAGCCGGGTGCCAACACTGAAGCTGCCGGCCTCCTGGAATACAGGACGGCCGGTGAAACGAGCTGCGGAGAACACACCACGGGACCGAGGGACAGGTAAGTGGCTGTTTTTTAAAAGTCAGCAGCTACAGTTTTTGTAGCTACTGACTTTTATTTTTTGATAGGTTGAGTGGAACTACGCTTTAAGGCTGATTGATGTGCCTGCTAACCCCCACTTCTGTGAGTGAATTTTAACTCTGATTTTAATAAATGAATACACTTAGAAGGTGGCGTCTTCTGCTTTTTTGTCTGTACAGTTTACAGAGGCAGTCCAATACTCTGCTGGAGGAGATGCAAACATTGGATAGTGGACTTTTCACATTTGGACGCTTTACACTCTATAGTGACATTAGTCCCCTTGATTTTTAACCTCTCTACCTGCGCTACTGAGCTTTTTTTCCTTTTACCAGTTTGTTTTATTACATATCAATAATAAGAATAAAGTAACAGAATTTTAATTCAGTGTCAGCATATACAGCACATAAAGTTTTGCATAAGTTCAGTTGACATTTTCATTCTTACTTGGTATTACAGTAGAGCAATCAGATGTAGCATCTATAAATTACCTGTTTAGTACAATACAGCCTATTCTGTTTACAGTATGTAGCGTCTTTTATACAGTCAGGTCCATAAATATTGGGACATCGACACAATTCTAACATTTTTGGTTCTATACACCACCACAATGGATTTGAAATGAAACAAACAAGATGTGCTTTAACTTCAGACTGTCAGCTTTAATTTGAGGGTATTTACATCCAAATCAGGTGAACGGTGTAGGAATTACAACAGTTTGCATATGTGCCTCCCACTTGTTAAGGGACCAAAAGTAATGGGACAATTGGCTTCTCAGCTGTTCCATGGCCATGTGTGTGGTATTCCCTCATTATCCCAATTACAATGAGCAGATAAAAGGTCCAGAGTTAATTTTGCATTTGCATTTGGAATCTGTTGCTGTCAACTCTCAAGATGAGATCCAAAGACATGTCACTATCAGTGAAGCAAGCCATCATTAGGCTGAAAAAAACAAAACAAACCCATCAGAGAGATAGCAAAAACAAGTGTTTGGAACATTCTTAAAAAGAAGGAACGCACCGGTGAGCTCAGCAACACCAAAAGACCCAGGAGACCACGGAAAACAACTGTGGTGGAGGACCGAAGAATTCTTTCTCTGGTGAAGAAAACACCCTTCACAACAGTTGGCCAGATCAAGAACACTCTCCAGGAGGTAGGTGTATGTGTGTCAAAGTCAACAATCAAGAGAAGACTTCACCAGAGTGAATACAGAGGGTTCACCACAAGATGTAAACCATTGGTGAGCCTCAAAAACAGGAAGGCCAGATTAGAGTTTGCCAAACGACATCTAAAAAAGCCTTCACAGTTCTGGAACAACATCCTATGGACAGATGAGACCAAGATCAACTTGTACCAGAGTGATGGGAAAAGAAGAGTATGGAGAAGAAAAGGAACTGCTCATGATCCTAAGCATACCACCTCATCAGTGAAGCATGGTGGTGGTAGTGTCATGGCATGGGCATGTATGGCTGCCAATGGAACTGGTTCTCTTGTATTTATTGATGATGTGACTGCTGACAAAAGCAGCAGGATGAATTCTGAAGTGTTTCGGGAATATTATCTGCTCATATTCAGCCAAATGCTTCAGAACTCATTGGATGCCGCTTCACAGTGCAGATGGACAATGACCCAAAGCATACTGCAAAAGCGACCAAAGAGTTTTTTAAGGGAAAGAAGTGGAATGTTATGCAATGGCCAAGTCAATCACCTGACCAGAATCCAATTGAGCATGCATTTCACTTGCTGAAGACAAAACTTAAGGGAAAATGCCCCAAGAACAAGCAGGAACTGAAGACAGTTGCAGTAGAGGCCTGGCAGAGCATCACCAGGGATGAAACCCAGCGCCTGGTGATGTCTATGCATTCCAGACTTCAGGCTGTAATTGACTGCAAATGATTTGCAACCAAGTATTAAAAAGTGAAAGTTTGATTTATGATTATTATTCTGTCCCATTACTTTTGGTCCCTTAACAAGTGGGAGGCACAAACGCAAACTGTTGTAATTCCTACACCATTCACCTGATTTGGATGTAAATACCCTCAAATTAAAGCTGACAGTCTGCAGTTAAAGCACATCTTGTTTGTTTCATTTCAAATCCATTGTGGTGGTGTATAGAGCCACAAATGTTAGAATTGTGTTGATGTCCCAATATTTATGGACCTGACTGTATGTGAACTAAGAAACCGGATGTGAATCATACATAATTCTGAACTGATTATGATTTCATGGCCTAACCTCCCAGCACTTCTATGAAAACAAGCAAATAGGATGGAGGATAAGCTCAGAATGACTTAAAGTGGTTGTAAAGGGCTATTTTTTTAACTGCATTCTCACATCAAAAAATAAAATAAGATATAAAAAAAAAGTGGTTGTACAGGCTGAAGGTTTTTTACCTTTGTGTATTCTATGCATGAAGGTAAAAAACCATCAGTGTGCAGCTGCCCCCCTCCCATCAATACTTACCTGAGCCCAATCCCGATCCATCAATGCGCTCGAGAGCAACTGCTCTCCCTGGTCTCTCCCTCATCATTGGCTCCCACTGTTGTCGATCACAGCCAGTGAGGAGAGAGTAGGGAGTGGGGCCAAGCTGCACAGTGTGTTTCATAGACACACAGAAGTGGCTCAGGAGTGGGCATGCACGAGTGCCCTCTTTGCAAGCATTTGCTCTGGGGGCACTCAGCATGAGGGAGGAGCCAGGAGTGCGCAGAAAAAAACTATAATTACTATATCTGATAGTATTGGCTTAAATAACAATACTATTTAAAGTATAACTAAAGACTTTTTTTTTTTTTTTAGTTTTGGATAGAATGGAGATGGATTAGAACACCTGTGTGTTTTTATTGCTGTGTCCCCTGTTAAGGACATTCACCCTCTCTATTTTGCCTGTTTACCATTATTAAAATTTAAAGAAATCCCAATTGTTTGGTTTTCCCTAGAAAAGTAATAGAGGGGGAATCTTCCAATGGGGACAATAGTTCTGGTGATCTGGGGCTCCCAAGGAATTCCTCTAATTTGCAGGGATTTCATCTCCCTTACTGTTTTGGCTTTGGGTCAGGAAGTGAAGGGAAATCTCCCTAATGGAAACAGATGGGGGAAGAAACTAACAAAGAGTTTATAACCCTCCCTTGCTCTATTTAAAATGAAAAAAAAAATGTTTTGCCTATAGTTCTACTCTAAGTTACAATGTGTGCCTTTTTCTTTGTTGAAGGTTATATTTTTTAACTGTTTGTTACCGGTTTTCAGGGGCCACAATGACAGCCTTGCTCCTTATGGCCTGCATTATCTGGTGTGTGTGCTCCATCAAGTCCAACAGACACAAGGACGGATTCCATCGACTGCGGCAGCATAATGATGATTATGAAGATGAGATGCGCCTGATGTCTGCAGGATCCAAGAAATCCCTACTAAGCAATGAATTCCAGGATGAAACAGACACAGAGGAAGAGACATTGTACACCAGCAAACATTGAAACCACAAAATTGCCAGGACCAGTTGCACCAGGCAGGAGACCCAGTTCTCCCCTCTCTAGGCAAAAATTCCTGGTTTGGCTTCAGCAACTTCCTGATGTTCATACTTGCACATTTTGCCATTGATTTTCTTTGGAACTACATTTATGTTAAGTGTCCTTTTTATTTTTATATTTGATATTATTTTTGTGTGTTTGTGTGGATGAAGCCTATTGTCTGCTAGCAGAATAATGCGAAGATTTAAGGAGCCGAACAACATTGGATTGCAAGTGAAGCCTTACCTAGCGCACACTTTACTGCTCAGCGGCCATTATAGGTTAGTTAGGATCTATTGCAATATTTGGCGAGGTGCTTTACTGAGCCTTTGTACTTCTTTCTACTATGACATCCCCACAGCAGAACAATATGACTGTCTAGGTGAAAGTGATGTCATCTTTATTGTATTTGCTAACTAATTGGGATAATTTCTTGACCAATTTCTTTTTTTTTTTTTTTATTTAATTTTTTTTATCTTTTATGCCACAAAAGCATGAATGTTTCACATGAGAATACTAACATTCATAACAGTTGCTGAATGTCCTTTTAAAAAAAACCAAAAAGGTTGGGAACCTAGAGTTCTTTATTGTCTCTTCAGGACATGATAGTTATGAAGAGGTTACGGACATAAGGTACATCAGAACACCAGCTTTATCTATAGGCTGCTGAATTGTCAGCAGGCTTTCCCATTTACCATGACTTGCCATTTCCAGCAAGGTAACAAAAAGCACATTTGCCCAGAATCCTTTGCTTGCTGTGTTCATTTACTCACTGAAACATAGTAGGTATGTTTTTCATTACTGAAAGCCAAGCTAAATAATGCACTACTATTCCCTATGTGGGAATAAAAATATTTCTGCCTATGTATAAGCGATAAATGAAGAGGCATCATATTTCTCATTAATGAGGATGAGGCCCCATGTTTGTAGTCCCTACATATTGTGGGTTTGATCAAGTTACCTATGTTTTAGATCTGCAATGTTTGTTTTTTTTTTTTTGTTTTTTTTAATTGTCTTTTTGTCATGTTTGTGACAAATGGTAAATCTTTGATCTTTGTTTCAGTTTGCTAAGATAGCTGCCAAATCCACTGCCTTATACTGTCCTATACAGCTTGGACGGGATTCATCACTCCTGTCCCATGCAGTAATTATCCATACACTTTTTTCACTGATTGTACTGAAAATGCTATTGGCCTTTGAAATTTTATACCCATCTAAGAGATTGTTACAGGTAATTCTGTCCCTGGGTAAGGTGTTGTATATTGAGAACTGGTTGCTTTTGGGCATTCAGTATGGAGAGGAATAGTTATTTAACATGCTGAAGCATGCTCTTCTAGTGATTTTTCACCAACTTGGTTTGTAAACAGACGTCTTATCTGATCAGTAAATATACTGATGTGATTAAAGGTTCTTTCCAGCAGCTCTGCTGTTCTTATTCAATGTTTGAGGCTTTAAGCTCTTGAATAACATGCACTTTTCGTATTGCTGATAAATGTTTTTAAGCAGCACATTAGGCAAAGATTTTATCAACAAATATCTGATCCTTATTCTGATTAAAGGGTAATTCTATTGACTAGTGTTCCATTTGTGTAGATTGAGGACAGATTTATGTCTTTTTCACCTTCATGTCTGTAGGTTTACTGATCTGCCTAGTTACTAATGTGCGGTCTTTCCAAGTCACTCTGGTTTATAGCACTCTACCTGCTATAGGTCTCCTGCCTTCTGTGGGCAGTTTTTGACATCCAGTGTGGAAAAGCTGCAGTGCGGAGCAGGTAGCTAAGCGAGCTTGTACACAGGACTTTACACCCAAGAAAATAGGGAAACCAAGGATAGCTTCTTGTATAATACTCAGCCGTTATTCACTGAATGCTTTCTGGTGACCTTCATTTTAACATGGACTTTTCAATAACATGAAAATGTTGTACTATATTTTTGTGCAGACATGTTGCTGCACAAATATGTCAGTAAAAAGTACTGAATCTCCAGTTACTTACAATGACCTTTAATAAAATAATAGGAATATACGCTTAGACAGCCAGTGCTTAAAAACAGGAGCGTGGAAGTGTGAGATATTATCAAATACAGGGATCTGTACACTTGCTTCAGGATGTCTGCATCTGTGTCAGGCCAATACCAGCCAACTTTTTGATAGCAGGTTTTAGACCCAAAGTCAGTTTTTTTTGGGGGGGTTTCTGCTGGCCTTGACTTTACTGTGAACATTTCTTATTTTCTGTCCCTGTAAAGTCTGTCATCAGGACAGAAAGACCATACAATAACACCTGAAAGTTCTCACCCCTACCCCATTATACTAAGAAATAAAGTGTTTTCATGCTCTTTACCCTCACTGGAGAGAATTCACATTATTAACTATCCCAGTGGCACCCTGGGACCAGGACAAAAAAAATTAAGCAAACCTCCCTAGTAAGGTCATAGATGGCAATGAAACCTGACATGTTCGAACACTTCCCCACTTTATTCAAAGCTTCATATTTAAAAAAAAAAAAAAAAAGCTATATTTTAGAATGAGCTGTGGATAGCTTTTTGAACAGCATAGAAAATATGGGGCTGGCTTTTTAATGTGTTAAACATTTGGCATGATGATGTTCTAACAAACATAATTCACATTTCTCACTTATTTTTTAATCTTCTAAATCAAATTAACTAGCTTGTTTTTAGTATAACCACACTCTGATTTAGATTAATTAAAGTGTTACTAAACCCAGTACCCTGCATTCATTATATCTGGTTTCCCACAGTACAAACAACATGGACATGTTTATTTTAGTAAATATAAACTACTAAATACTTTTTCTCATCAGCAATTAGAGCAGTCTTGTGACTTCTATCAGTGTCCAGCAGAGCACTGGTTAAAGCTTATAGGAGGAGTTTTCATTCTCCTCTCACTGTCCTGTGAGACTGCAGTACCGTTGACCCTCTGTCTGGACAGCGCAGATTGGCCCTGTGCTGATCACATGCACTCTCCCAAAAAAAAAAAAAAAAAAAAAACCTCTCTAGCAGTACACACTAAACTGGGCATGTGATTCTTGCCCCCAAGGCACTGCTCTATCAGGAGATAAGTCTGGGAGAGTGAAAGAAGGGGAGGATCAGAGAACACAGGATTAAACATCTTTTTACACAATGCAGAGGATTAACCTCTTACGTTTCACTGTGAGTATAACAAGTATGCTTTACTGCAAATACAGATACTGTTGTGGGTTTAGCAACACTTAAAGGCTCGGTTCACACTGTGGTTGCGGGTGCAGGACAGGGTGTAAATCATACCTACCTACACCTGCAACTACCAATAGCCAAAACACGTTGCTCTTTTGTAGTCGTGTGGGGCTGCCATTCATTCTTAAGCATTCAAAAGCAGCCTGTAATCTCCCTGTGGTTGCATTTTTAAAAAGGTTCAGGGACCTTTTTCCTGCATTTCCCACAGGTATAACAGCCCATTCAAATGAATGGGTTGTTGTGGCTGCTCAAATGAGAGCCTTAGCAAATGGAATGGTGTGAATGTATTATAAATTTCAAATTTGTAAGACTGATGTTTTACTGCAAATCTGCTTGTCCTGTGATACCAGAGATCTCTCCTACCCCAAGACATAGTGGGGAGAAAACTACAGTACTGACATGTCCCACCGAACCTGTGTAGGGCAGGATGTAAAAATAAGGATGCACTTTCCCTGCTCTCTGCGTAAGCACAATGGCACGATATTTAGCTATTGTAAATTGAGACTGGATTTTATTTAAAATGGCATTTTTAGACTACAGAATAACTAGAGATTCAGTACAGTGTACTGTAATTCTTGTGCTATGTATGACAGCGTATTGTGATAAAAGAGACAGGCAAGCACCTTATTATATCAAAGTACCACTTTCAGTTGAAGTTTTGCAACATACACGCTAACCCGCATAGTTGTCTTGCCATGCCATACTGTATATACATCTTTAAAAGCATTTTGTTACAAATCAAAACACTTGTCTAAGATTCCTTTTAATGGAAACTTATTAATGCTATTCTGCTCTTACATTTTATATATTTGACAGTGAAAATTAAAAAAAAAAAAAAAAAAAAAAAGCAAGCTGAGGCCAAGCAGTATTAAGGGTTTCTCTCAATAAGGCACTCTGGATATGTATTTTCTGCCCTCCTGTATCGATATGTAATAACTCCTGAAGTGCCTTGTTGCAGCATATGAAGCATATGGCATTGGTCAGTACAATGCTGCAATACCTTAACATGAGGATGAATACAGTGACTCTATTGAAAGTGTTAATTATGCTTTAAAAACATTCATTACATTTAGTTGAAGTTTGGATGAAAACCTCAATACTGTTGTTAAATTGGTATAAAGATGATGGTATGTATTGCTTTTGTGCCTGTAAAGAGCAGCCCATTCTACATGATGTCTTTTATGTTTTCACTTGGTTTTTATATTCTCATCCTTTTGTGGTAATAAATTCAGGATGCATATTTGTGTGAAAGACTCATGTAGCTTATTTTGTGCTTTATTTCTATTAGGCCTCATGCACACAGATGTTTACATACTTGGAATGGCACATACAGCTGTACATACATGTGAACGGTTGTGTGCGGCAGGCAGCTTGTAAATGCACTGGTTTTTGTATCAGTATTTTTCTGCACTTACAGCATATTTCCCCAGATGCGCAACTTTGTGTTCGGGAACAATACACCACATGCTCTGGTGAACACAGAAGCCATCCACATATACAAGCAGCTGGCCCCATACAGCTATTGCCAACTGTAAATGGCACTGTGGCTTCCCAGGCCAAAGAAAGCACTGGACAATTTACACTATGAGACTTGGCATATAAGACCTTAAAGCTGAACTATACTCGCCTCCAATCCTGAGATACGCTGCCCTGAACTCCCCGCCCGGCAGTTCACAACTTCAGGCGGCCGGTTTCCAGGTCCCGAACGGCGGACATTGTCATTGGTCAAGCAGGGA